GCATCGCTACTAGTAACAAGTGCCTTACTAGTAGTAACAAGAAGCTAATAGAAACAATAAGACTGGACATAGCCTCCTTTACTACTAGCTTCTTGTTACTACTAGTAAGGCACTTGTTACTAGAAGCGATGCACTTGTTACTAGTAGCTACTGATGGCCGTTCTTTCCTACTAGACCTTTCTTTCCTTTCTCTGCCTCCAACCTAAGAGCGATGGCCTCCAAACAGATTTTGATCTCAGATTTTGAGCAAAGCCCTGGGTATTCGATGATGCCTCCAAAAGCTTTGGAAGGTTGCAACATTGAGAAGCACACACTACCGTGGACAGCCAATCACTTGTTTACTCTCAGCCGACCAAAACACAAACACACTGGACAGTAAGTCCTTTCTGAGACTATTCCACAGTTTCTTTACCGATGCTGATGGTCAGCGATGCCATCGCGGTGCGAGTAACTCCCTCTCTGGGGACCGTCTGAGCATGTCCAAACGGCCAGAGTACCCGAGCATTCTTCGACACTCTGCTCTACACTGTACAGCATGAACACATGCGAAGCCAAAAGACGACCCAGCACTCCCTCAACCTGGAAGATTGAACGCTGATCGCAGAAAAGCCAAGTGCCAAATCCAGGTTTCAGGTGTCACTGGGGACAGGACAAAACCATCAACTACTCCATTGGCGAGTCGGGCCATTTGCGTCAACCCAAGGTGAGCTTCAAAACACACACCGAGGCAAACATGTTGCCACAAAAATCAGGTGCCCACAAGCGCAAGACCTGAGGAACCCCCAACGTACTCCGAAATTGTCTCTTAACGTCTCTCGACCCTTCTCCCAAATATCCAAAAGCCCGACATGATCGCCCCCCCAATGATTGACTAATGTATGGGCAGGCCCACAACAAGTACAAGAAAGGGTTCACGGGTTCACTTGATGCTTTTCTTTGGTTGTCTCCTCTGGTTGACACCTCTGTATAATGCTGGCCCTCATGGGCTGTATCGCTCAAAACGGAACTCTGCCCGGACTTCCAGAGACCTGGTCGCTTGTCGGTCGTGGCTTAGCTATGGTCGATGCACAAGTGGTCCCACGACGTCGCAACAAACTCCCATGGTGGGTGCCAAACAACACCGAAACAAGGGCATCGCTACTAGAAACAAGGGCATTACGACTAGTAGCATGGACGCTACTAGGGGCTCGTGGCATTACGACTAGGAGCAAGGACGCTACTAGGGGCTCGTGGCATT